TTTCTTTCTACTTGAGCCCTTAGTATCAGCGCCTCATTTTCCCCTCCCTCACTCACCCTTCATAATTTATAAATTATCATTTTATATAAATTATATATAATGTCTTCGGTCACCCACTTTTCTGTTGTCCACCCCCCAGGAAGGAGCTTATATGTATATCATTGTGATTGGCTCCCCTTTCCCGCCCCCCCCCCACCCCCGATCTTCCTCTTTCCCTCTTGATATTACTGTTCTCATTATTGGTCCTGAGGGGTTTATCTGTCCTGGATTCCCTGTGTTTCCCAGCTCTTATCAGTACCCATGGACCCATGTACATTCTCTGGTCTGGCCAGATTTGCAATGTAGAATTGGGATCATGATAGTGGTGGTGGGGGTAAAGCATTAAAAAACTAGAGGAAAGTTATATGTTTTGTTGGTGCTCTATTGCACCCTGATAGGCTCCTTTCTTCCTTGTGACCCTTCTGTGAGGGGATGTCCATTTGTCTATAGATGGGCTTTGGGTCTCAACTCTGCACTCCCCCTCATTCACAATAATAATTATTTTTTGTCTGGGTCTTTGATGCCTGATCCCATCAACACCTCAGATCACACAGGCTGGTGTGCTTCTTCCATGTGGACTTTGTTGCTTCTCAGCTAGATGATTGCTTGTTTGTCTTCAAGCCTTTAAGACCCTGGATGCTATATCTTTTGATAGCCAGACACCATCAGTTTTTTTCACCACATTTGCTATGCACCCATTTTTACTTCAGCGATTGTGTCAGGAAGGTGAGCGTCACAGAATGCCAGGTTATTAGAACAAAGTGTTCTTGTGTTGAGGGTGTACTTGAGTAAAGGCCCAATGTCCATCTGCTAGTTCACATACTTAATATATAAATAACATATAATAAAATTTTGCATAGTTCACATATGTAACATATAAATATATGCACATAGAACTATTTCCCTATCATTATTTATAAATACATTTATATATGTACATGCCTGTATTTAGACCTCTATAAATGCCCTTTGTCTCCTAGTTCTTTCCTCTAATTCCTTTTACTTTCCTCTTTTCCCACTATCATGTTTGGCCTTTCTTTGAGTTTCAGTAATTTCTCTTGGTTACATTGCCCTGATCAAGCCCTATACTGGGCCTTCTACACTCTCCTTGTCATTGATTTTAGATCACTTGTTGATCCCTTGTTCCTGGGTTTGTTAACACCCTCTTCCTTTTCCCCACCTCCCCTCTCCTTTGTCCCCCAGGAACCATCAGTCCCATTGTTTTCTCCCCTGGATTGTTTATCCCACCTATCTTATCTAGATAAGCATGCATTAGATATATTCTTGATATATCATCAAACTCAGGTGGGATATACTCAAGGTTGTATTTTGGCTCTCGTGGACTTGTTTTAATATTCAGCTTCAACCTGAACCTCCATATGAGCAATTAATAATCTATTCTGCAGTTGACTCCTGGTTTCATTTTTGGCTGCTGATTTTGAACATCTCCATCTTATCTTCCCACAGATGTAATGCATTTGATTTCTGTGTATTGCAGATGAAAAAGTTCACATGTAGAGTCACTTTTTGTGGAACTGAAAAGATATTTGCAACGCAGAAGTGTTGCAAAATTCTTTTATGTGCTCTCCAGCCTCATTTCTCTCACAAGGCCATATTTTCTGACTGCCATTGGTCCTTCCTTTCTGTATCCAACTTTTGCATTCCAATCACCAATTATTGTCACTGCATCTTGAATGCATGTTTGATCAATTTTAAACTGAAGACATTATTAATATTCTTCACAATTTCTTCATTACTAAATTTAGTGGTTCATTCATAATTTTGAAAAGTAGTTAAAATAATTATATTTACAGCTGTATTTCCTTGTATGTAAATAGATATCTGAGACTATTAATATTTATAGAATCAGATAGCTTCATTTTTATCTTGTAATGTGGCTTGTGGACTTGAATTCCACGGCCTCTTCTAACACACAAAATCACTTCCATGGAGTTGATATCTGACAACTAGCAACCACACAGAACAGAGTCAGACTGCTCCCTTTGGGTTTAAAGGACTGTATATATTTATGGAAGCAGATAAACTCAACTTTCTCCTGTAGACTGGCTAGTGGGTTTGAACCGCCGACCTTACAGTTAGTAACCCAATACCAGTAAGGCTCCTATTGCTCACACATAATGCTAATTAAATACATGTTCATGATGTTTTTCACTCTCTAACTCCTAAATCCAGATAAAACGTACATTTGCGATTCAAAAGCATGGTGCCATCAGCATAGCGCTCAAAAGAGCAAGTTTTGATACTATTTTGGGGGCGGGTGCAGGGAAATCACGAGATTTACACTTATACTAATTATTCCAAGACTTTTTAAAACTAGTGATGGATATATGGAGTGTGTTTCTTTTAGTGTACTGATTAATAGCATATTTTTGGTTGGTTAATCCCTGGTTAATTACAGTTAAAAATGTTCTTCATAGAGAAGTGAAGAAAGGTGTGCAAAACAACCTATGGTCTTGAGCTCCTTGGTTCCCCGAAATCCAATCATTCCAGGTGGAGAATTCTACAGCAATCCACAGAGGCAATTTCTAACTACAGGATACTCAGATTTCAACTTAAAACTCATGAATTTCAAGTGGTTGTGGAATTTGATAAATCATCCTTTACCATTGCTAATGTTGCAAAGAGAAAATTTTGAATCAATTTCTATTTCACAGGCCATGTGTGAATATTGATTTCGGCCCTGCCACATACCCTTTCTACATGCTGAGTGAAGAGACTATTCTGCTGGAGTTTGAAGGGGAGGAGCATCTTCCCCAATGATAAATAATAATAACAAGGCTCACAGGAGCTGGCTCTCTCAAACCGCAGCACAGCCTGTTCTTCTCAGTGTCCAAAAGATGAGCAAAATAACCCTGATCCTTCTGCATTAGTGACTATTCCCTAGTTTCCTCAGTTATTATAAGTTGTTTGAAGTTTCCAATTTTTTATCAAAGCCCATATTTTGTTAAATGATCAACATAAAGACTTTTCCTATTTATATAGCATAAGTAATCCCTGTTTTTAGATTTTTATCTCCTTTACAAGTTATGGAACACCCTTTGATATTCATACTGCCTATGATTGCTGTTATTCTGTTATTCTGTTTGTCTTTCTGTCCGTTTGATCCTGACTCATAGTAACTTGTGTAAATCCTGAAATATATTTTCCACTAAGTATAATGCTTAATCTCTTTGCTATTTCATATTTAGAAGTTATTCACAGAGTATAGACATCATTGAATCTGGTGATTGAGCTTTCCTAAAATCTTTAAATAAAATATATATTTATAAAATAAGTAAATTATTTTAGATTACATTGCTATCAAGTCAATTCTGATTCACAGCAAGTGGACAGGACAAAGCAGAACTGCTCCCGTGGGTTTCTGAGATTGTAAAGCCTTATGGGAATTCAAAGCCATGTCTTCCTCGGTTGGAGTGGCTAGTGATCTCAAACTGGCACTTTTTGGTGAGAAGTCCACTGTGTCCTTTTATTAATAATTTATCATTTCAAACATTAATAATTTTAGGGGTTATGATTCAAAGCACTTGTTGAAAAACAAATTTTAAGTCAATTACCTCTGAGAGTTTAAAGTGTTGGTTCTTGATATCTAAAGACAAAATGTTTAAAGTTTCTTCCATATAGCTTTCTATAGAAATTAAAAGGGTTTTCTTAAATCTTTAAATAAAAAACTAAGTTTCATAAAAAAATTTACTTAAAAAATCTATGCTTGAAGATAAACATAACTCATAAATATCGAAAGCCTTTATTGCTTATTTGGCTATTTATCCAATACATTAGAGTGATAATTCTAGGCTTCAAAATAGAGTTGTGAGGAAAAGGGGTAAAACCGATGAAGATGGTAATATTTACAGAAGCTAGGTAACGCACAGCATGCACAGAATGCAGATTTGATGCTATTCTTCCTGACTTTTCATTTCAAACTTTCAGTGTATAAATTGCAATCCTGATGTCTTTCCTAGGACTACATTTTGTAAAATACTGCAGAATTAAAATTCTGGTATATTCCAAACAGAGATACCATAAAATTGTAATTAAATTATGTACTGTGGAATAAGACTATGTAGCTTTGATTCCAGACCCTAAGAACCCACGGTCTCTCTGTGCTTCATCAATCACATATACAAAATCATCAGAACGCAACTTCAAAGACTGGTAACACTAAAATTAAATCCATTACACAATACATGGAAATGACTAAAAAGGACCTTCACAGATAACAAATGCTCAATATAAGTAGGCACTGCGCTGCTAACTGATAAGTCAGCCATTTGAAACCGCCAGTCACACCATGGGGGAAAGGTGTGGCTATCTGTCCCTGTGGACCTCCTTTTGTTTTTGTTATTGTTAGGGGCCTTCAAGTTGGTTACAACTCTCAGTGACCCCATGCCCAACAGAATGAATCACTCCTGTCCTGTACCATCCTTAAAATAGATGTTTTGTGGAAGCCCACAGTTTAGCTACTCTGTCATTCTGTTACATGGAGGATCTTCCTCTTTTCTGCTGTCCATCTCTTCTACCAAGAATTCGGTCCATCTCTAGGAACTAGTTTCTCCTGATAGCATGTCCAGAGTGAACCCTCGGCCACAGAGAGCATCCTGCCTGTACTCCTTTCAACATGTATTTGTTCTTTTGACACACTATGCCCCTTTCATTATTCGTCACCAGCATCGTAATTTAAAAGCATTTCTTATGTTCTAGTCTCCTTTATTCATTTTCCAACTTTCAAATGCATATGAGACAATTAAAAGACCGTGGCTTGGGTCAAGCAAAGTTAGTCCTCAATGTGCGACCATTGCTCTTCCACGCTTTACAAGTGATCTTGTACAGCAGGCTTGCACAAATCAGTAAGTCGTTTGATTTTTTGACTGCTGCTTCCGTGATCAATGATTGTGGATCCAAGAAAAATGAAACCCTTGACAATATCAATTTTTTATTTTCCCCAATGCCCAGACCATGCAGAAGAGAGAAAATGATTATTTGCATCTCAATTTGCAAGCGTCTCATATATTTTATCCCAAGCTTATAACTGCTCATGTCACTGACAGACAATAGCAGCAAATCAATGGGAAAGACAATATCAATCTGTTCTCCAGTACTACCAGGCTCCTAGATTCGGGAGGCCTCGATTCTCCTGTTATGTGACTTAACAGTATGATAGGCTCCATGATTCCACGATGGGATCTTCTGGTAAGCGGCATAGCAATTGTAGGAAGAACATTAGATGCCACGGAGTCTCTTTTGACCCATAGTGACCCTAAACACAACAGAATGAACCACTGCACAATCCTATATCATACTGACAAGTGTTCCCATACATGAGTCCATTGTTGCCGCTATAATGTTAATCCATCTCCTAAGGGCCTTCCTCTTTTCCCATGCCCCTCCACTTTTCCAAACCTGATATTCTTCTTTAGGAACTAGTTTCTCCTGAGAACATGCCCCAAATATGTAAGACAAAGTCTTGCCTTCTTTGCCTCTAAGGCGTTCTCTGGCCTTACTTATTCCAATAAAGATCAGCTTGTCCTTAATATAGCCCATGGTATTTTCAGTATTCTTTCCAGCACCACAGTTCAAATATGCATGGACTCTTCTTCAGTCTTTCTTAAGCAGGGTCCAACTTTTCTGTGCAGATGAGGCAACTCAAATGCCAAGACATGGGTCAGGTATACCTTAGATCTCAAAGTAACATCCTGAAATTCCAATACTCTCAAGAGGTCTTGTGCAGCAGATTTACCTAATGCAATTCATCTTTTATCTCTTGACTGCTGCTTCTATGAGCATTGATTGTGTAACTGAGCAAGACAAAATCCTTGATGACAACAACATTTATTTCATTTATCATGATGTTACCTATTGGTCCAGTTGTGAGGATTTTGGTCTTCTTCACATTGTTGTAATCCATATTAAAGGCTGTAATCCTTGATCTTCGTCTGTAAATGCTTCAAGTCCTCCTTACTTTCGGAAAGCAAGGTTGTGTCATTTGTATAAAACAGGTTAAGTACTAGCCTTCCTCTAATCCTGATGCCACATTCATCTTCATATAATCCAGCTTTTCTTTGTATTTTCCTGGCATAAAGACTGAATAATCCTGGTGACACAACACAACCATGATGCACACCTTTCCTGGTTTAAATCATGGAGGAAGAACACACCTTCTTAATCTGATCACTGCCTTGATATGATTAAGGGAAGTTTCATTTGGGCGAGGCCTGCTCTTAGTGTAAATTGACAGTGTACCAAAGCTAGCAGACTTAAGCTACTAGGTTTTTAACCTGCATCTGATTTGTTGATCTCTTGTTATATCACCTGCAATTCCAGGAGCACTCAGTGGATTGCTGACCTTGGATCCATTCAGTCAATCTTGGATTCATTCAGCTCAACATCCACAGACCTGTGGTCTTCCTGCTTAATCATCCTATTCCATGTTCATCAGCTGCTACAGCTACAGGAGTCAGGAGGAGCCTTTTGCTACATCTCATCACAAACTTTCAACAACTCTGTGAACCATTTCTTGATATAAATCTTTTTATTTACATACACATACAAGCATAACTGAATTTGCTTCTTGACACAACCCAACCTAACACTGCAAACTTAGTTGAATGATCTTCAGCAAAACTTTTTTAGTATGTGATTTTAATGAGTTTATTTAATAATTTTGACATTTTGTTGGATCATCTTTGCACATTTCATTATAATATGTTACTTTATCTTCTTGAGCTGTCCTTTGAAATTTTCTGATCAGCTCATTTGCTTCATTAATGTTTCCATTTGTTTCAGTGTATCTGTGTTCAAACACGTTTCAGAACCTTTTCTGATTTCCACTTTGATCTTTTCTTTCTTGCCTGTCTTTATGATGACTTTTAAAAATTTCTTCATGTATGATGTTCTTGATGCCATCGTATAACTTACAAAGTATTCTACCAGTAATGTTCAATAAGTTAAAGCTATTTGTGAGATGTTCTCAAAAGGCAAGTACCAATATTTTGGCTCACATGGACTTTTGTTAAATTTGTTCAACTTCAAACTGAACTTACATATGAAAAAGTTATAGTCTGTTGCACAGACTGCCCCTGGTCTTGTTTTGACTGAAGATATTGAGCTTCTCCATCACCTTTTCCCAGGGACTTGTTAATTGGATTCCTGTGTATGCCATAAAGACAAATCCATCTGTATAGTTGTTGAAAAAGGGATTTGCAACAAAAAGTCATTGAATTTACTGGACATCACATGAGAGAATTTTGAAAGGCCAATGGGTTTTTGGTCTTTTCAAGGCCCTATTTTCCAGTTAATGTTCTTCCCTTTGTTTTTAACGTTTACGTTCCATTTACCAATAACTGTCCATGCATGTAAGCTGCAGATCTGATCAATTTAAGACTGAATAAGTTGATAGAATTCTTCAGTTTCTTCACTGCTTCCTTCAGTGTTTGGTAGATAGATTTGAATAATGGTTCTAATAACTGGATTTCATGGTGTATATATTGATATTATCTATCATCGACAGCATTGCTCTTCAAAACTGATCTTGAGATGTTCTTTTGGATGAGAACTATGATTCCATTCCTCTTCAATTTGTCATTACTGGCATAATAAACTATAAAATTATGTGATTCAAAATGGCCAATACCAGCCCATGCATATCACTATTGCTTAAGATATCAATCTTTATGCATTTTGTTTCATTTCATTTTTGAAAGCTTCCAATATTTCTATATACATAATTCACATAATCCATGTTCTGATTATTAATCGATGTTTTCAGTTGCTAATTCTCATTTAGAGTTGTGCTCCATCAGCCAATGAAGACTTTGAAGACTTTGCTTCTTCTAAGTCTGTGTTTACGCTACTTTGGGTATACAGTTCTTCTCAGTCCTATTTTGAGTGCCTGCCAATCTGAGGAGCTCATCATCTGAAACAATATCTATCAACGTCTCAGTACAGTTCATAAGGTCTTCAATGGCTAAGCACTCAGGAGTGAGCAACTATTCTTTGTAGTCTGTTCTTAGTCTGGAAATTCGACTGATTCCTGGTCACGTTGGGTGATCCTGCTGGTATTTAAAATATGGTGGCATGCTTCCAGCACCATAGCAATACACACATCACCACAGTACATCCAACTGACAGATACATGGTATTGGAATTCTTGTATAAGGTAGCTATATATCAACCTGCTGTCAGCGACCTTGGTTTTTTTTTATTGATAGCATAACTTTATCAGTGGATGTTTGTTTTATATATGTTAAGTAGTCTTGGAAATCATTTTTATGATGCAAATCATATTTTATGTTTTTTTTTTCTTTCAACTATAAAACATCTGATTCTCAGTTTATGAAACAAAAATTTAGATTACCTTTCCCATTTCCCTCCAAGGCAACCAAGTATATATATTTTCTGCAGATGAGAATTTAGTATTGAAAAACTTTCTATCTTACGAAAAAACAGTTAAAATCTAATTGTTAACAAAACAAAAAGAAAACCAGAAAAAAAAGGGAAGAGGTAAACTCTTGGCAGCCAGACATTAATGTTACCTTTGTGAGTGAGAATAATAATGTCTCCTTCATAGATTCACTGCCAACACCTTTCCCTTCATGCTGGGCGTATCAAGCTGTTTACCATATGGGTGTTATTTAGCCATTTCACTTGCCCAGGAATGAAATGAATGGCACCCCCACACACAAATGTCCACACATTTTGTGACTTGAAAATTGAATAATAATTATTATTCTGGATGAAAGACAAATACCTTACCTTTCCATTTTGTATTCTAGCATTGGCCAGCAAACATCTTAGACCTTTTCTTAAATTAATACTAATTCTTAATTTTCATCTGCAACTTCTTTTAGTTTTAAAAAATATATTTTTCCATCCATCATGGTGTTTTTTCATTTAATGAATGCTTTCATATTTTAAGCCCATTATATTGGTAATTGGATTTCTATAAAATATTGTAGCAAGTGAAAGAAATCAACTTTAATTTCTCAATTAATAAGTGTATGTTGTATAAATGGTATATAATCACACTTCCTGTAACCTTCATTTAAATAAGAAAACTGACTTTTAACCTGCTGCACAAGACTTCTGTAAACTGTAAAGAGGCAAAGATGTCACAGTGAGGACTCAGATGCACCTGACACCCAAATTACGCCTTGTACACATGAGAAATATGGACAAAGAGCAAGAAAGGCTGGAGAAGAATACTGACTATGCCATGCATGGGTATCTAGAAGAATAGATTCCAGGAGAGTGAACAAATTTCTCCTGGAAAAAGAACAGCCATATGGCTCCTGAGAAGATTTTAACTCATGTGCCTTGGGCATGTGATCAGGAAGGGCAACTGCACAGGGTCACCAAAACACCTGAAATAGCCTCAATGAGATGGATTGCCCCGTAGCTGTAACAATGGATTCAAACAGAGCAACAATGCGTGTAGTAGAGAACAGGGTGGAGTTTCATTCTGTGGCACATCTGTGAGCTTCATATCAGAACTGGCTGGACAGCAACCACCACCATCAGCAGCATTCATTTGAAAAGGGAATATCTCAACCTTAATTGCTGATATCTTGAACCTATTAGACTGGACATTTCCTCAAAAGAACTACAAACTCTTATACTCAGAAAGGACCACCTCATACATCTACAGGTATTCCTGAAGTAATGAGTGTTCAATTTACAAAGAAGCCATCATTGTGAAAAAGCCCCCATAAAGCCCATTATATTAAAAATTTAGGAGACTAACAATGGGAGTTATTTTGTGGTGCCCATCAAAGGATCACTATTATTATATTATATTAAAGATGGTTTATGATACTTAAAAGCATGTCTTTAATTTCTATGTATAGAATGGTACAAAATATACTGTACACTAAGACAATAATTTGGTTGACATTACGCATGAACTATACCTAGCTGTTCTGATTTATGTGCAAATTTGACATGAAAATGCAGATTTAGGATTTAGATAGAAATCCTATTATGAGAAACCAAACTCACTCATAACTCGGTATAATGCAGTCATTCCCAAGGTAAAAAAAAAGATCTTTTATACCTGCTGTTTTTATCTTATATTTAAA